AATACTATTGGAATAAGGTAGAACTACTGTTTTCATGTTTTACTGTTTTATTTCATGATGATGATGATGATGTTGTTGTAATTTGTTTTTTTATTACCTCACTCTTCAAAGTATGTGCGAGATTTTTTCTTGTTATATATTTTTTTTGTAACTTTTCTCTCACAATTTCCTCTGTATAGATTACTTTTTTTTAAATCAACCAATCTCCCCGAATACTTCTGATGGTCAACCCCTAAAGTTATTTATTGATGGCAAACACATCTTGAGTCTGTGATGAAGATGCAGAGAAAAGGACAGCGCCCTTGAATTGCGGCCATGCAGTTTCTATCAACATCTCAGTGAATATGCTATATTTCAATCGTCAGTTTATTTAGGGGTTATTATAAGTGAACTGATGAAAGATCTAGTTAATAAATTTTTCGTAATCAAAGAACTAATAATGAACGCAGTTTTTTAATATGATCACGTCATAATTTAAAGCGGGAGGGTCGTCACCTGCGCACGCGCGGGAATTGAGTCCCAAGCAACGATAACACACGCTAAAAACGCAAAGGCTCATGGGTAGACACTTGTTTGTAAACAATGACACGCTATGGCCATCTGATGCATGCGCAGGTGACGACTCCCCGGCTTTAAAGCATGTGAAAAAGGAAACTATTATAATATAGCACTTTTACTAATCACCTAGCCCTCACATTCCTGAGAATGTATTGACCGATGATTCGTCACTTTGATGCAAAGCATTGTGGGTAATCTCGAGCAACAACATGGCGATGTATTTATAAACAAAATCGTAGTTTCGTTTCATGTAACTAGTTTTCGCTGACTTTCAAGTGCCGTAGGTTCAAATTTAGTACACGAGAACTATGCTTGTTAGATTGGTCGACCCACGCTTACCTCATTACAATCAGAAAAACTACATTAAAGATTCTCTACGAAGTACTATGGAAGTTTAGCCGAGTGAGGATACGACTTCTGACTGTTGTCGCCAGATGATCGGTGGAAGGTCAACCTAAGTACGGGACTGAACTCGGGGCTATGCACAGGCGAGATGTTATTAATCATCTGAAGTTATGACAATGATGAGTGTAAAGCATCATGAACCTCAGCTGTATCGACATACCTGATTGCTAGCAAATAAACATAACGTCAACACCCGTAGTCGTAGCAATGCGGAAGTGGGTGACACTCAAAAGAAAGTGCGCCATCTGGTGGCAACGTTTACACGATTTACAAACTCTGGCAAATAGTAGATCATATGCATAGTAGAATCAAGAGTCTGCGCAAATGAATTTGTCACGTCTCCAAAAAAAAAATAAACACCAGTAAAATATTGCCCGAAGAATGAAGTAGAGAACAATGCAATTTATCAAGTAGCCGTGGTTTCGCGGCGTTTTTGGTCCGTAAAGGTATTTTGCTT